ATAAAGGTGTCTGGGAAAATTTAGAAGCCCTAAGGGATCTCTTATCCCCACAGTGACCCCGAAGGTACTGTCCACAGAAAAGCCATGCTTGGATGGGATCCTGACTGGCCCAAAGCCACACTGCTGCTGAGGAAGAAAGCCAGCCCTGCTGGCTCTGCCCCAGGCCCCATGAGGAATGTAGGTTAAGGCCCAAGTGCAAAACGGATGCCCACTGGCCACAGCAATCCAGTTTGTTTTCTTTGCAACTGGCCACCTTTCCCAGAAACCATGTTCAGGAAATCTCCCAAGCGTCTCCCCACCCCCAACCCTAGCCAAACTAAGAGTAGACAGCACAGCTTGATCCTCCTCCCTCCTGCGGCCATCTGGGCACACAGGGGTGTTACTTTCATCATCTTCACTCTCCAATAACCTGGGGCCAAACTGCATGGGAAGGATCCAACCCTCACCTCTGCCTCCAAGTGCCCAGGCTCCAGCCCAGGCCCACCAATGTGGTACTAATGTGAGACATGTGGAAAATAACCCTCTAAAGACAGAGAGAGGAGTAATAGCAGAAGTTTGCTGTAAAATCCTTGGAAATCAGAAGCGAACAAAAAAAGAACAAAACAACCACCCAGAGCTCTGTGGCTCCTGACCTAACATGGTGCAGGGCTCTTTCTAGCCTGAGGAGCTGGCTGGGGATACTGCTCCTGCTAGGGAGGTCTCAGGCAGCCTTAGGGTGCCCTACCTGGCATCAAGAGCTTCTGCTTGCCTCCAATGCCCCATGGTGACAGAGGCAAGCAGGTTGGAGCAGTGCAAGGAGCTATGAAGTTTTCCAGCCCTAGGTTCAGTCCCACAACTGTCCTGTGCTGACTTTTGGTGCACCTGTTGGAGGCTTGGTTTGGTCATATGCAAGCAGGAGCTCGAAGTACTTCTCTGGAGTCTATTTTGCAGATTTCCATGGCGTGGCTCCCCCAAAGGAAGTCAGAAATCTATGTTTCTGTTGAACTGGGTGCTCTAGAGAGCACCTGCAACTTTATAAAATAATCCCATAAGACAAGTGTGATAGCGCTCACCTGTGATTCCAGCACTCTGGGAAGCCGAGCCAAGAAGATAGTAAGTTCAAGCCCACCCTGGGCGACTCAGCAACTTAGTAAGACCCTGTCTCAAAAAGGCGGTGTGTATATGTGCACTGAGGACGTAGCTCAAGTGCAAAGTTCCTGAGTTCAATCCCTGGTACCACTAAAAACTTACCGGATTTTTTTTGTTTTGATCAGTTATTACTGATTCTTTGCAGTTTCTGTCTGGGACCCTCCTTTTGATTAGGCCTGTTTTGTTCTTTTTATTCATTTATTCAACAAATAACCACGAAGTCTCTTTATGTGCAAGGGGCTGTACCAGGCACTGGGAGAACACAGTTAATAATGTCCCTGACCTTATGGACCTTGTTACTCGGAGGAGGGCAGAAGTAGGTCAGTGTTAAACCCACCAGGAAAGACAGAGATAAAAAGTTGAGAAATTTAAATAGGAAATGTATCAGGGAGGGGTGGCAATAGACCAGGAGCTCAGGAAAGGCCTTTAAGAGGAGGTGGCATTTAAGAAAGAGTAGGAGCTGTCACATGAGGTGGGAGGGGGAAGGGGGTCCCAGCCGAGGTCAGAGCAAGAGCACTGGCCCTGAGGCAGGAACAGGCTGAGTGTGTTCAAGGAAGGCACAGAAGGCTGGCATGATGAAATGATCACAGGCCACATCAAGTTGTCAAGGGGAGCTGGGGCTGGGAATGACACATAGGACTCTGGATGCCCTGTCCCGCCACATTCAGCAGCCTGGAGAGGGACAGGGCATGGCAGGGAATGGCCTGGGGATAAGGGTCCTGCTGATCTAGGGAAACCTCTGAAAACCCCTCAAGGAGCCAGACCTTGACCTTCCCAGCCATGCTGTGACCCCCAACCCTAGTGACATGAGCTGACCAGAGGACACAGCTACTGGCCCCATATCAGACACCTGGTTCCCTTCCTGAGGCACAGTGTGGACCCAGTGGGAAGAAGCCAGAGAGCATGCAATGGTTCAGTTTTCTTCTGACAAACAGGTACACCTCTACCTGGAAGGATTGTCATGACAATTAATGTGACTGTGGGCACAAACACTATACAAACGTTAGGGATCAGATGTCCAGATAGATAAGAATGGGCTGGGAGTGGAGCTCATCGGCAGAGCGATTGTGTAGCCTGTGTGAGACCCTGAGTTCCATCCCTAGCACCATAAAAAGGAGAAAAGAGATGTGGGCAGACAGGAAATAACTGGATGGAATCTTTCCTGCAGGCCAGAAAAGACCTTAGACTCTAGAGTCCAACAGGCCTAGCTCTACCTAACTTCCTGTTTTACCACACTTGTGATCTTGGATGTGTTTCTTTCTTTTCTTTTCTTTCTTTTTTTGATTTTTTGAGACAGTGTCTCACTATGTAGGATTGAATTTAAGTCGATTCTCCTGCCTCAGCCTCCTGGGTGCTGGGATCACAGGTGTGTACCACTATGCCCAACAACTGTGGATGTGTTTAATTTCCCTAAGCCACAGTCTCCTTGTCTGCAAAATGGGGCTGGTAATAACTGTTCCTGCCTCAAAGAGTTATTAAGCAGAGTCCAGGAGAGAAAGCACAGAAAGTGCCAAGCACTGTGCCAACATAGTGACATTAAATATACAGTGGCTGCTGTCACTACTGCCATCCTGTCTCGGCCTCTGATACGGGCTCAGCAGCTCTGGCTGACCTGAAGTGGACTAGGCAGTTCTGAAGTGGAGAAGATGTGTTCAGAAGGCAGAAATGCTCAGTTCCCTTCCTGTGGCCCCGAAGCCTGCTCCCAGGTGGAGCTAACCATACCTGCAGAAGCCCCGGCTTCTCAAAGAAACAGGCTCAATGGGGGAAATAAATAAGGCGGGAAGGAGCTCTGTGGCCGGTGATGACAAAGAAAGAAAAGCGAGCCCTCTTTCTGCAGGCCATTAAATGTAATGAAAAGAGCTGGCTTCTGCAGGGGCTCCAGGGAGTGACGGGGTTGTCACTTCTTCACCAGGGCTGAGCCTCCAGAGGCTGGGTGCAGCCAGCCTTCCTCGGAAGTCACCTCCACCTTCTGCTTACACTCAGGCCCCATCTCTCCCCCATCTCCTTCACTAGTCCCAGCCTGGGTCAGCTCCCCAGCCACACTCCCTGGATTTGCTCTGCATCTCTGTCACTTTTACAAGATCACCTACCCTCTCCACACTATCAGTAAGATCTGGAGAATTACAGCACGTACCAGCAGGGTTCTTATGAGGCTTAAATAAACTAATCTAGGCAAATGCATTTGAAACTGGGCTCGATCACTGGGAAAGTGCTGAGCTAGTGTTTGTTAATTAGTTTAAAAAAAAAAATGTAGCCAGGTGTGGTGGCACACACCTGTAATTCTAGAACTCAGGAGGCTGAGGCAGGAGAGTTGCTGGATGTTTAGGCTAGCAGGGCTACATAGTGAGTTCAAGGCTAGCCTGAACAACGCAGCGAGACCCTATCTCAAAAAACAAACAAAAAATTAGTAAAAAATTTAAAACCCCTCCAGCTTGTTCATCTGAGTTTCTTACCTAATCCTCAGGCCTGAGTCACCATCAAATATCATCAAATCTCCAGGCTTGTTTTCAGACAGGAAACTGAGGCTCTCAGAACTAAAGAGCCTGACTTGAACCCACACTCATGTCCAGCCCCTGTACTGTGATGTCCCAGGTGACCCATCCCTTCTTCACTCATCCCTATCTTTGTGTCCTGGGCCTTTCTCATCTTGTCTTTCAAATGTTCCCATGGTACTTCTAGGAAGACCTTCTGCCCTGGGGCGTAATTCAATTTGACAACAGACACTAATAGCCCCAGGTGTTCTCTTGGCATGTCCACTAGGGCTGGAGCCCCAGGGTCTGATTAGATCCAGCTCCTGTCCTTGAGAAGTCCAGATTAATCATCCCTATCTGTATCATGCCCAAGTTCCAAGCTTTTCCAGGGTGGCAGACAGGCTCCTGGTAGGCACTAAGGAATCAAACTCAGATCTCCACCCTCAGGGCAGGGCATCCCCCTGCACTGTCTTTGTTTTCTCTGTTAGGCCAGCCTGAGCCCCTAAGACACAGGCGTAGCTCAGTAGTGTGAGATGGGAGGAGACCTTTTAGTGTGAGCTGCAGCACCCTCAAGAATCAGGAGGCCTAGCAGAGTGACCTTAAGATGGCCACACAAATTCTATATTCCTCAATTTATCACTGAACTGGAGATAAATTCCCAACCCAGGGCCGGGGATTTAGCTCAGTGTTTTCACTGCCTGCTGCGCAAGTGCAAGGACCTGAGTTCGATCCCTGGTACCAAAAAAAAAAAATTCCCATCCCTCACAGAACTACAGAATTATAGAGACTGTCAGTCAACCTCCCAGCACTGAGGTAACCCAAGACTTCCATTTCGCCCCTCCAACCCCTCCAATCCTTCCTGTTTTCACTAGCACAAGTTCATTTCCTACAGGAAGTCTTCCTTAACTTTTTCAGGTTACCCTGAGCTCTCTTCTCTTGGCTTTCACTGCCCTGACCCCAGAGTTGGGCATTTTCTTGTCCTCTCACAGGATTACTAGAGTTAACTTTGCCTTTCCAGCCAGGCTATAAGTGACTCAGGCCCATACTTGCCCCACATCGGCCCACCAGGGGCCCTTGAAAAGTAGTACCTTTTGGTAGGTTAGCCAGGACTCTGGCAAAGGGTAAAAAGATTTGTAGTCAGACAACCAGGCAGGACTCCTAGCTCTGTTGTGTGAGTTTCCAGGAAGACATCCAATTCACTAAGCCTTGGAGTTCTCACCTGCTAAGTGAGGATTGAAAATGGCTCTGATATAATCGATGTGAACCAAGAAGCCAACATAGGTGAAGGCTCTTTTGTTATAAACCAAGAACCTCTATTAGAACTGGGGGGTTTTTTTGGTACCAGGGATCAAACTCGGGTCCTTCCGCTTGCCCAGCAGGCAGCAAAACCACTGAGCTAAATCCCTGGCCCCCAAGAGCCTCTATTTAAAGGATTAATTTTAGAGTCTCAGACTCAAACCCACTGATGCCTCAACTTTCCTATACCTGAAACTCAAGAGATCAGCTCATTCCAAAGAACTTCTTAGGCTCCAAATATTCAACAAACCAAATTCCAAATGGCCCAACCTCCACAAAAAGCCAACAGCTCCGACTCACAGCATTCACGGAACACAAACCCCATCCCATCTCAGGGATCACAAAGCCTCTCTCCCTCCTAGGATCTCTTCCCTCCTGGAGACAGGATTCTCCTTCCTAGCCCAAGGTAGCCCCACTCTCAAACCTGCTCCAGGGCTGGGGATTTAGCTCAGTGGTTCTGTCGCCTGCCTCGAAAGAGCAAGGTCCTGAGTTCGATCCCCAGCACCAAAAGAAAAAACAAAAACAAAACAAACCCCTGCTCCAACCAGGCGTAGGCCAGGCATTAATTCTAGTTTGCAGCCAACTTTCATGGGAGGTGAAAGCAGGGATGAAGACCAGGGAGGGGATGATGGTGTGTGTATGTGTGTGTGGCTTGGGGGGGAGTCTTGGTAGTAGAACGAAAGATTCCGCTAGAATTTTGGGCCCAACAGTTGCTAAATGCACTGTAATTATCGCATTTGTGTGAAAATTCAAAGATCTGCATTCTGCTATTTTCATCAGACTGGTGAACTGCAGGCACTGAGGAAAATGGCAAGAAGTTGGGGTTCCAAGTCTTGTGCTTAGGAATCAAAGTCCTGGCCAGAAACCCAAGAAATGAACCAAATCCCCGATCACACTGCTTCGAGCCCGCAGCCCATTTCTTCCCCTCTCTAGGCTCCTAGTGCAGACCCAGCCCCCAGTCTACCCATTAATGCCATGTTGGCACCAGAGCCATTCTGTTCTATCTGACGGAAATGTTTCTACAGGATCCTTTTCCTCCTGGGAAACCTGCTTTGTCTCTCTCTGTAAAGGAACCCCAAACCAGGCACCTTAAAAACAGAGCCAAATAGTTTAGGGTAAAAGGAGGAAGGAGCAGGTTCTGAAATGGACTCCAGCCCGCTGAGGGGGGGCGAGGGGAGGTAGGTTCAGGGTCTTGAGGCCTCAGCCACGCCGGGGTGCCCAGCCCCAGGCACCAGAGTAAAGCCCTGCACCCCCATATCGCCCCATGACCTCCCCAGTCCAGTGACTGGTCACAGAGCTCAATGACAGATCCTGCGACCGGAAATGCCCTCCTGCCGGGCGGGCCCAGACCGCGCCCCCCTTTCCCGCCGCCCCCTCTCGCAGGGCCTGGCTGAAGGCCCTGGATCCCCGGGCTTGCGTGGCCACCGCAGCCGGCGAGGGCGACCCATGGCGCGGACGCGCTACCCGGTTCTCGCCGCGGCCCCTTCAACTCCAAGCGCTGCGGAGCCCAGACAAACACAAAAGGGAAGGGAGAGGCTGCCATCCTTCAACCTCCTGCTAGGAGCCAGCAAGGCATTCTCGTACCCGCAAAGCTCCAGTCCCGAGCAAAGACCCCCTCCAACCCCCACACAGAAGAAAACCCCAATACATCCCCAAGGGTTGCAGAGGCAGCGCCATCTCCCCAGCGGCAGGTGCCCCAGGACGCACCATAACTTTGAAACTTTGGGTCAGCACGGTCCGGGGCTGGAGCGAGGGATCCCCAAAAGAAGCTCACGGGGATGGGGGGGGCTGTTGCTTTATTTTTACAAAATCCCATTTCCAGATGGACGGCGCGGGGCTCCGGCCTGGATCCGGGCGTCCCGCGCCTCCTTCCCGACCCCGGGCGCCCTGAACCTCGAACCCCGCCGCCGGCAGCGGATGCAGGGCCCCGGGCTCCCCGAGCACTCACCTCGGCTGGGCTGCGCTCCCCGCGGGCCTGCGCCGAGCCCGATAAGTGGTATGCTATGACTAGAGGTATGATTACGTTATTATTATTATTAGTAATAATAAGAGTAAATGCTATTTAATTAAGGGCGGCCGCATCCTGCTCCCCGCGCCGCCGCCCCGGCAGCTGGGTCCTCGTGGCTCCCGAGCGCCCCGCGTTCATCTCAGCCCCGGCCCGCGGCGCCCTCGCTCGCGGCTGCTCCCGCAGGAGGCCCCGTCTCCCTGCTGCTCTGCTTCTCGGTCCTAGAGCGCTCGGCTCCGCGCCCGCCGCGCCCGGGTGGGCGGCACCTGGGTGGGTGGGGGATCCGGAGCCCCCCTTCCTCTTGCAAGCTCATGCATGGAATGCACCTTTCTTTTCTTTAATAACAGTGCCCTTTGCTTTTAGAGGATTCGAGTTCGGCAGTTTTGCATTTCTGATGCTGGACAAACCCAGCACCACCTCCACCCTTTCCCATCTGAGTAAAAAGCCCACCCCCACCCCCGTCTCCCCCAGATCCTGATTGCTCCTTGTGCCGTTTTCTTCGTGGATGACGATCCGAGGGTCCAGAGGAAGCAGGAGCTCATTTGCCTGGCGTTTAGTGGATGAGGTGGGGGGCGGCGGTAAAGAAAAGAAACATTAAATGACACTTGTTAAGGCCCTCCAGGGAGATTTTATTCAGGGTGCTCCTCGTGGTGGGTGTGGGGACCACGGCAATGAAGTTTTGCGGTGGCTTGAGAGATAGTAGTCTCAATCCCAATTCGGCATGGAAGGCTGGGAATTTATAGCTAGGCAGCAAGGTGGGAGATTAAAGGGTAGAAAATTACCAAGAAGAAACATGAAAGGTAAGGAGTTAGAGCTAAACTGACCTAGCAGGATTCTTGCTGAAGACAGGCAGAGTGGGTAATTGAGCATCACCCTGGGGAATAGTGGAGGAAGAAACTGATTAGATATTGGTGGCACTCAGAGATGAAGGATTGGGGGATTCTAGCTAAACCAAGTTAACAGGATTCTTGCTAAAATCGGACAACACACAGATTAACACACAAGTCCAAAAGTCGAGACCTAGTTGCAAAGTTCAGGGGAATTTAAGCAGAATTTGATCAAGGAGGAATCTTTGTCAAGGATCTTTCCAGGGGGCATTTGAGCTTGCTTTGAGCACCCACTAGGCACGTGGAAATTAACCAGACACCCCAGCTGTAAGTACCCAGGGCCCTACCTATGACCTGGTAATGATAAAGCTGGATTGGACTCCAGACCTTTTGATTCCAAGTAGTGTTTAGGCCACATACTACTCCCTGCAGCATTGATTCCTGGAGAACCCATGTCCTTGGGAGAGTTCTTTCATATTTCCCTTTTTGCCCTAATTCATTTTATGCACACACTTGTATATGTATATTTTATTTTTATTGCAGATCAGCTGTGAGCCTGGCAGACTTTATCTTTACAAATGTTATCTCTTCCAGAAATATTTGTGTCAGGCACAATCTTAGGAGCTTGGGATACAACAGTGAGACACTTTCTTTTTTTTTTTTTCTTTTTTATTTTTTTGAGACAGGGGTTCACTATGTAGTTCAGGCTGGCCTTGAACTCACTATGTAGCCCAGGGAGGCCTTGAACTCAAGATGTTCCTCCTGCCTCAGCCTCCCAAGTCCTGGGAATAGAGGAGTATGCCACAACGTCCAGCTGTATTTTTTTTTTTAATTTTGTGGCTTATTGAGTCAAGGTCTCACTATGTTGTTCAGGCTAGCATTGAACTCACTATGTAGCCAAGGCTGGCCTCAAACTCAGCAATCTTCCTGCCTCAGCCTCCCAAGTGCTGGGTTTACAGTTGTGCAGCACCACACCTGGGAAGACACATTTTAAACATTTAAGTGCACTCTGGTAGGTTCTAGGAAGGACAAGGAACTGGGGCTGTTGTTTATTTAATTTTCACAGTGGCTTTAGCATGCCCATTTTACAGATGGCCAACTGAAGCTGGGCAATTAACAAACCAAAAGACAAGCTTTGGCAACAAGAGTAAGAACAGGGCCAGGGATTTAGCTCAGTGGTTCCAGCTCCTGCCTCGAAAGCAGAAGGTCCTGAGTTTGACCCCTGATACCAAAAAAAAAAAAAAAAAAGAGGATGAACATTCTCAGAAACAAAAGCAGGGGCCAGTGGCTCTCAGACATCACTGATGTTTTGGGGAGTCTACCTGGGGTAAACTCAAGAACACGAGCTAAAGTCAGTGACAAGCCCCGCCTGGTGATTTAGTGGGGCTGGGTAATATGGGGATGTCACTGAGGTGGCATTAGGAAGACCAAAGTCCCTAGCCCTGCCACTGGCTGGCTGTGTGATCCGGTGCAACATCAGTTTCCTGATTTGTAAAATAAGGGTGAGGATATTGAATTGATATAAAATGTGTTTCCAGGATTACAGTGTTTCCAGGGTTACTAGTACCTATTAAGCACTAGTATAGTTACTAGCCAGCAATAAGGAATAAATAAACAAAAAACAAAAAAGCCCTTTCCCACACCATTTGAGCAATTTACAGGGGACTGCTCTTGAAACTTATCCCATTAGGCACCATTGTTATTAGTACTCTCATTTTATGGGTGAAGATGTTGAAGCCAGTTGGATTGCATGGCCTCTTCTTGCCTCAAATGAAGGAGCTGGCAAATGGCCTGGAGATTCCAAATAAGATACAGCCTTCAAGATGAGCACCCCTCACTTAAAGGGCTTTCAGCTGGATGCCAGCCCTCCATGCTCTCCATGTGGCATCAACGCATTACACTGCTCAAGCTGTCTGAGCTAAGTCAGTGAGTAATAAGAGTGCAGTCATACATTGTTTAATGGGGCATGTTTGAGGCCTGGGTTTGACTCATCACACACACACACACACGTCAGCCTCCATAGACATGTAAGCCACTTCCTTATAATAAATCTATAGCTCAGGGGTTCTGCCACCTGCCTCGAAAGGGCAAGGTCCTGAGTTTGATCCCCGTTACCAAAAAACAAAAACAAAAACAAAAACAAATCTGTGTATCCACCTACCTAACCATTCTATTCATTCTGTCTCTGGAGAACCTGGACTAATACAGGAATGATTATAAGGACTAAGTGAACACACCATTAATATATATGTGCTTCTTAGCTTAAAAGATACATGAAGGGCCAGGGATTTAGCTCAGTGGTTCTGGCGCCTGCCTCAAAAAAAAAAAGCACAAGGTTCCAAGTTCAATCCTTGGTATCAAAAAGAAAAAAAAACATAACAAGAGAATTTTGGGGCTGGGGATTTAGCTCAGTGGTTCTGTTGCCTGCCTTGCAAGCGCAGGGACCCGAGTTCAATCCCCGGCACCAAAAATAAATAAATAAATATAAATAAATAAATAAAATCATTTGGTAGCAGGAAACCCTCAGAAATGGCCAGAGCAGAAGTTCAGCTCCCCTGTGCACACCAGTCTTTTCTCCTCTCATTCCTGGGTTCTCCAGAGCTGGAACAGTGCCTGTTCCCACAGGGATGTTTGATAACTGTTTTGCATAGTGAATGAATCATCTTCACTCATCTTCACTACGGGTGTTTAGCCAGGGTGAAAATACCATTTTCTAATCAGGAGTCCTGGGCCTGAAGGAGCTGATGTGTGGGCTTGGGGCTATCACTCCTCCCAGGTGAGGACAGAAGGTGGCCCTGAGGTGTGGGACCTGTCTCTCAGGGGCCCCAGACCAGCGCGGGTCAGGTCTCGGGAATGTTTCTCCACATTCCTCACATGGCTGGCATAGTTCAGTCATTTGTTTTTAATCTGACTAAATAGCCCCGTCTGCAGCCTTAGTAGTTTTTCAGGGAAACCAGCATAAATATTGTTATTTATTCCATTTACAATTGGCAATTAGGTTTGCTCTCAGGCACCAGAATGGAATTTAAAGCACTCAATTAAATAAACCAGACTAATGAAAGGCAGTCTGCTTTTCTCTCCAAAACATCCTTTAAAAAAAAAAAGCTTCTCAAAAGAGAAAGATCCAGCCCCCAGCCCCAGTCCTCCTCATGCTCACTAAGTGACTTATACTGTAGGAGGGAGGGTTGAAAAGGACCCCAGAGACCTGGCTTCTCTGTCCCTTTCTCCATCACTGTGTGATCTGGGCAGGTTATTCCATTCCCAGGGCTTCAGATGAAACGAAGAAAAGGAGGCCAGGGTGGATCCATCTATCAGAGGCCAAGTCCCCTTCTTGGGCCAGGCAGGCTGGCTCTCAGGTGGTAGGTGGAAGGAAAGAAAGAGAACTTGGGAGAGAGAGAGAGAGACAAAGACAGACAGAGAACATGAATATAACAGAGACTTAGAGGCTGGGCTCGCAGATGCCAAATGAGAAACTAGAAGCAGGATAAAGCTTTACATCTCTGCCTTATACCTGACTCCTTTATTACCTTTAGAACCTAGGTCGCATCCTATACAGTTCTGCACATAGGCATATTAATCACTTGAGAAGTGTCTATCTACAAACTGGTAGTACAAGGTTTGTCAGTCCTAAATGCACCTAGCCCAACTTGTCCCCCCTTGTAAGACTAAGGATACTAAGTTATGAGTAAGTAAGGCATTTTCGAGATTTGCAAGGCTAGGTGCCAGTGACACAGTCTGTAATCCCAGCTACTTAGGAGGCTGAGGCAGGAGGATCTCAAGTTTCAGGCCAGCCTGGGCAACTTACCAAGATCCTGTGTCAAAATAAAAATAAAAAGTTCTGGGGATGCAACTCAGGAGTAGAGCCCCCTGGGTTTAATCCTCAGTATGACAAAAAGACACAAAAGAAGTAAATAATTGGTTGGCATGGGTGTGATGGCTTCAAGGTTACTTTGTAGAGCTGGAGCCCTAGCCATGCAGGCCCCGGTGGAGTGGCTGCTGTCAGCTACATGGGTTCTGGAGGTGGTGTCCCTGCTGATGTTGAGCAGGGAATTAGCCTGCAGAGGGAGGTCGTGCTGGGTGTGCGGAAGGGACTGGACCTGTACAATATACCACCCCAAAAAGCAGCTTCAGGCACCAAGGAAAACCCTAATTTAGTCCCACCAATCACCAACAAGTGAATAGTGGGCTGCATCTGTGAATAGGACAATAGCGCTGCCATGTGGTTCTGGCTGCACAAAGGCAAGGCTCAGCAGTGGCCAAACTGTGGAACTCTTACAAACTGGTGCCCCACCAGCTGGCCCACCGATCCCTCCCCACACAAACTCACTTGGAATGTGCTGTAAAGTCTCTTTCCAATAAAGACCAGCAGGGCATCGTTTCCTCCCCAAACAAACAGACAAACAAAAAATAAGTAAGTAATTAAAGATTAGCAGGGACGTTCAGTTGTCCATTTTCTTTCTTTTTTTTTTTTTTGTACTAGGGATAGAACTCAGGTCCTTGTGCTTGCGAGGCAAGTGCCAGAACCACTGAGCTAAATCCCCGGTCCTCAGTTGTGCATTTTTATAACTAGTTCCAGACCCCTTAGAAGTCTCCAGTCATCATCTTAAATCTTCAGTCACCTCGAATTCCGGGGAAAGCAGAGCCTCGAAGACCACCCCATGATGAGGTCATGCCCTAAGCGGGAACAGTTACCTCACAGGAATGGGGCTGCCACTCAAGCCACAAGGACTTCTCTGG